TATCAAATTGAACAAATTCTTTATTAAATATATACAGTACTAAAATGTTGAACATTTCATACTTAAAATAAGTTTTTCATTTTATTTGCTCAACATTTATCAAATCGGATAACAATTGCACACAAATGTCAATCAACATTCAAATTCATCGTTAGGTCTAATCATTTAATTAATTATTTATTTTGCTGTTGTCTTCTCTGTAAAATACAAACAAAACTATAATTTAAACAATACTTCAAATACGAGACATACCTGTGCTCTGCGTTCTTCTGAATAGGCGTCCCCTTTAGCCACATATAAGTTTCCGGCGTAGGGTTCACCCAAATTATATTTCTTTGCAAACTCCCTGACCTTAAAGCATATCCGCCCCTCCACTGAGTCAAAGCCAACAGGAGTTTCCGAGTGTTTGAGATGACCTGGTTGTTTGTACACCAAGAATATGTACCGATGAGGTGGAGGTTCGAGTGGAGGTCCAGAACCCCTATAAGCGGCCAGTGTTTCGCCTTTCGACACATCACTGCCCGGGATATTGACGACCAGCCAGTGCTTAATCTCTGAGCGCTCGCCAACATCCGGATCAGTCATCACCAGAGTATAGTAGACGCCCTCCTCTGCCACCCACTCCACTGTGGGCTCATCTTTCACCAAAAGTGGTGTCAATTCATTGCCTAAATTCACGTCAACTCCACTCGAATAGTGAACCTTATCATGAAAATTGCAAAATTATATTTTACTCTCAATATAAATCACTATTCCTTATAAATACCTTGATTATATGTTTGGGAATCGTGTCGATCACATCAGGAACAACTTTGTTTTGTTCCATGACTTTGTAAGTTAACTGTTTGGCTGGTAATAAATGAATGTGTATTTTTATAATGACTTGTTTTTATACAATTTATAGTAAGAGTACTAAAATCTAGAGTGCAATTCAGTGTCTAATCATTATATGTATGATAAATGCTTTCTCATTATATCAGCATGGTATAATGCAACTTAAATTCTATAGCAACCAATTGCTAAAATACCGGTAAATGTATTGATATGGTAATATAAGATACACCTACACAACATATCGTACAATAAATAAACAGTATTTTATTACTTCTATCACAAATGAACCACTTAATTTTAATATAATATATACTTTATTTTAATCCAATATAAAAATAAAATCTTATATTAAAAGAATTGATATTTGTCAATAAACTGGTTTGACAACAAATGTTAGCTAAATTTATTTAATATATATTTTAATAAACAATTCGCCATAAGTTTTAAATTATTATGAGCTTTTATTTGAACATTTTAGATAATTAGTATTAATATTATAGAAATTGGATTTAGTATGTGTATGAATTACTTGGATAATCCCATCTGGATCCGTTTTTGTACAGAATATTCATCGCCATTAGCCAGGTAAAAGTTGCCGGCATAGGGTTCACTCAAATTATATGTCTTTGCAAACTCTCGGACATTGAAATCCCCGCGCCCTCCGCCCGACCCCTTTGATAAAGGAGTTTCCGAGTGAATGAGATGACCCGGTTGTTTGTATACCAGGAATATGTATCTATTGGGCGTAGTCTTTACTGGTGGTGAAGAGCCCGCATAGTTGGTCAGTGTTTCGCCTTTCGACACATCATTGCCCGGGATATTGACGACCAGCCAGTGCTTAATCTGAGGATTACGTCCGGCGTCCGGGTCTACCATAACGAGGGTATAGTAGACCCCTTCCTCTGCACTC